TTTTATTTTATTTCTAGTAAAAATACCAAGTAAGTTATGATTCCTGGAGATAATAACTCGTCTCATTCTATCAGAAACTTTCTTTTGTTCCATTTAATGTTTTTACAAGCCTTTTAATATGCTTTATAAAATCCTTCACTGGGTAAAAACTGCCAAAAAAAAGCAGACTACTCTAATGTAAATGTGTCTTCTGTTGAACCTTCACATTTACAGGCTGAGATCCATTCCCAATTTCCAAGAACTGACTCTAAAATTTATGTTCTGCTCGTGATTAAGATTTATAAACCGGGTCTCCTGCTGTAAAAGAAAATCACGTCTGTGCCAGAAACAGGGCTGGAGATAAAAGTGCAGGATTTGGTTTTTCTTCCCTCTCTTTGTCAGAAATGTCTGGCAAGTTGAGCACCATGATCAGCGCCGGCTCCAGCACCCTGGTCAGCGCCGGCTCACGCCGAGGCAGCAGAAAGGGAAAAAAAAACGCTTTAAAGCGTTCGACTGTTTTTATCAGGGAGGCTGAGTGGAAAACTATCTGAATGTTTTCTAGCTTAAAATCACTTTTCTATCCCTGTGCATTACTAAAAAATAAAATGCATTTCAGAAACCAATAAGTCGTAATGTTTATCTGCACATGGAGTTCGGATAAATCCAGAGACAAGCCGTGCAACATGTCAGCCTGGGAAGAGGCTTTACTCCGCCCCCCACCGACACCATACTGTCTTATTTACGGTGGAAATTTTTCTGCCCACTGCTGAAAATTGCTCTGTCATGGAGGTGTGATAGGAGTTATTACCGGAAAGATCTCCGATCAGATTTATTTTTTTTTTTCACTGCGCAGAGATGAGGAGGAGGGGAAAAAAGCCTCATGGCAAATGTCAAACACTGTTTCCAGATTTAATTTGTGGAGCAGCCATGAAATGGCCATGCACAAATCTGTTATCTTTTCCGCGTGGGGAAATGTTACGCGCTTGTGAGGGGGTGATGCTGCTCAGAAAAATAAAATATACAGACCTCTGTTGCTTTCCATTTATCCTTTCTGTCTGTCTTTAAGTGCAGCTGGGAGCGACGTAGACAGAGGGGAATAGATGTCTCTTTAGGTGTGACGGACGTTTAATAGAAACGTTGAGGAAGAAGAAAAGATGCATTTATGAGTACAATAACGCAAAGGTCGC